TTTAACTTCCATCTGTATTCTCCTCCTGTCCCTATCACAAGGGACAACTCAGTTGTGGAGGTCCCTGACTTCAGGCAAAAAAATTTTTTAAAAGATTTTATTTATTTATTCAAGAGAGACACACAGAGAGAGGCAGAGACATAGGTAGAGGGAGAAGCAGGCTCCCTGTGGGAGCCCGAAGTGGGACTGGATCTCAGGACCCCAGGATCATGACCTGAGCCAAAGGCAGAGATGTTCAACTACTAAGCCACCAGGCATCCCTAGGTAAGATGTTTAAGAAGGCTTTTACTGGTGAGGAACTCAGGGAAAGATTCTAGAACTGAGGGATTAAAACACAAGGAAGAATCTTAGGGCCAGACTGCTAGGAGCTCCTTCAGAAAGCCAGCGACAAAGGAAGATGTGATACTTCTGGCCCAATAGACCTTGACGATTGGCATTCAAAGTAAAAAGCTCTTCAGAAAGAGATTGACCAGGTAAAGGAAAGAGATATACACAGGATATCTTTTTAAAATGTTAAATGATAGGGATGCCTGGGTGGCTCAGTGGTTGAAGGACTGCCTTTGGCCCAGGGCATGATCCTGGAGTCCCGGGATCAAGTCCCACATTGGGCTCCTGCATGGAGTCTGCTTCTCCCTCTACCTGTGTCTCTGTCCCACCCCCCAAAAAAATGAATAAATAAAATCTTTAAAAAAAATAAATGTTAACTGTACCAACAAGAGATGGGAATTTTATTTACAAGTGATTTTATTTACAAAATCTACATTTTATTTACATATGTCTCAGATATTGCTTTAATCTTGAGAGGCAAAGGAGCTGGTTTCTTTAATCACAGCCAGGCAAATCCCTGGGTGCCTACAGGGTCAACCATTGGAGAAGCTCACCCTGTGTTTTCTCTACTTGGTAAGTCACAAATAGCTTTGGCTGGGCATCATCGTCCTTCCATTTTATTGTTTGGAGAATGCATGAGCCACTGGGTAGCACGTCTTGTGCCCTGATTCATAGAAGCTTGGCCCTTGCCTCAAGCTGAGGCAGCCCAAATGGAGATTTCAAATGTGTCATGAGTTTCCTGGCCAAATTCCTTCAAGCACCAACTCGAAAACTCAAAAATAGCCCTTACCAAGGGAACTTGACCTGTGACAAAGATTTCCTAGCTGGGAGCATGTATAAGAGGGCAGCTGTTTTTCTTTTTAAAAATCTGCTTTAATGTCTCTATGATGTGAATTGGCTTTTAAGATTGTGTTTGAAAAATCACTCTTATACTTGAGTCTCCTGTTTGAGAATGGAGTTCTTCAATTCTTGGTGCCAAATTGGGGTTAATCCTGTGCCAGATCTAAGGATTAAAGGAAATAAAAGAGAAAGCCTTATCTCTTGTTTACTGAGGGTATCAATTTAAGTTTCTATCTAGGAAATTTGGAAGATCTATCTAGAAAAATCCTGGTGGTTAAGGACTCCGGGGTTGCCTATATTCAAGTTCTGATGCCAGAGTCTTTTAGAAGTTAAAGGCTTAGGTCGGGTCAGAGATTTTGAGGTTCTGATATAAAAAATATAAGAATGTATAAGAAATTAAAAACGGGACAAAATTTATGGTACATTTTAGGATTTCTCTTTTTACAACTGAGTGCTTTTAACACAGAGGGGGAAAAAACAATAATGCAAGAGAGTTACTTATTCACCAGGTAATTATCATTATTAGGAAATATTCATGCATTACTCCTACAGGTAAGTGGACTGGTAAGGGTGCACTATTTTATTTTTTATTTTTTAAAAGATTTTATTTATTTATTCATGAGAGATAGAGAGAGGTTAGAGAGACAGGCAGAGGGAGAAGGAGGCTCCCTGCGGGGAGCCCAATATAGGACTCTATCCCACGACCCCAGTATCATGACCTGAGTCAAAGGCAGATACTCAACCACTGAGCCACCCGGGTGCCCTGAGAGAAAATTTTCAAGCAGACTCCCTGCCAAGTGCAGAACCCAACACGGGGCTCGATCTCACAACCTTGAGATTATGACCTCAGCTGAAATCAAGAGCCCATCACTTAACTGACTGAGCCACCCAGGTGCCCACTCCTCCTTTTTTTTAAACTGAGTTGAGGAAACAGTACATGTTCACTTTTGAATCTCATTATTTTTTTCAGCACGTTATTTTTTTTTTAATATTTTATTTATTCATGAGAGACACAGATTGGGAGGCAGAGACATAGGCAGAGGGAGAAGCAGACTCCATGCAGGAAGCCCGATGGGGGACTTGATCCCCGGACAGAGATCATGCCCTAAGCCAAAGGCAGACGCTCAAACGCTGAGCCACCCAAGTGTCCCTTTTTCAACACATTAACATAATATTTTCCTAATTTCATTAAGAGTTCTTCATAAATATAAGTTTTAATGGCTGCAGAAAATTTCAACTATGAATAGACTATCCCCTAATTAATTTTCTATTGTTGAGCATTGAGATAATGTTCCTTTTTTTTTTTTTGCTAAATAAGTAAAAATGAGATTAATACTTTTGTATCAATCTTGGTCCATATTTTAGATCGTTTCCACTTCATTTATCCATTAACAACTATTTTTTGAGTGTTTACTCTGGGTCAGGTGCTATGCTGTGTGCTGAGGATCCGAGGGTAGAGATGGACAGGTGTGGACTTTGCTTTTATGGGTAGAGCTCCTATTCTATTTAAAATTTTTTTAAAAAAATATTTTATTTATTTATTCATGAGAGACACACAGAGAGAGGCAGAGACATAAGCAGAGGGAGGCTCCCCAGGGAGCTGGGGATCATGACCTTAGCCAAAGGCAGATGCTCATCCACCGAGTCACCCAGGTGCCCCTAGAGCTCCTATTCTAAGGGTGAGACATAACAAATGTGCAAAGAAATGCAATACTTGCAGATGGTGATCGGTGCTACCTAGACAAGAAATAGGCTATGTGACAGAGTGTCCAAGCATTGACTAGCTTTTCTGGGCAGGGAGGTCAGGGAAACCTCACAGAAGAACTGAGATGGACTATGGAAAACAGTGCAAGGACTAAGGTGAGGCAGATGAGATGCCTAGACCCCCAAATATTAGAGGGAGGCACTCACTGGCAGGTCTGTGTCTGTGCAGGGTTGGCACTTGCGTGACCTTGAGAGTGAGTGCCTCCTTAAATTTGGCACCCTAGGCATTTCACTCACCTCACCCAAGTCCCAACCCTGGCAACAAATGTAGGAAAGTCATTCTAGGCAGGAGTAGCAAGCGCAAAAGCTCAGAGTCTGGACAGGCCTGGTGTGCTTTAGGAACAGAAAATCAATCCCTATGACTAGAGTGGAGGGGAGAAGTGCTAATGGAACCTTGAAGCGGAACCACCAAAAGAAACAAGATAACATTTTTTGAAGGTTTTGAGAGTTGATCACATTTGATGTATTTTTTTCTTAAAGTATCCAAGTAGTTGCCATGGGGAAAAACTGGGCTTTCACTTTTTTTTCCCCCAGTGGTTTAGAATTGTTTTTAAAACTCACATATGTTGGGAGGCAAGGTTGGAGATACAGGGACACCAATAACTTTTTCAGGGATTAATGGCTTGAAAGTGGTGTTTTTCAGTCATGGTTGTACTTTAGTATCTTCTGTGGTGGGGTGCCTGGGTGGCTCAGCAGTTGAGCGTCCACCTTTAGGCTCAGGGAGTGATCCCAGAGTCCTGATATTGAATCCCACATTGGGCTTCCTGCGTGGAGTCTGCTTCTCCCTCTGTGTATGTTTCTGCCTCTCTCTCTCTGTGTCTCACGAATAAATAAGTAAAATCTTAAAAAAAAAAAAAAAAAGAATCCCCTGTGGAAGCCTTAAAAATATACTTCTACTCAGGGGCACTTGGTTGGCTCAGTCTGTAGAGCATGCAACTCTTGATCTGAGGGTCATGAGTTTGAGCCCCACATTGGGCATAGAGATTACTTTACAAAAAATACTGACACCTGAGATTCAGATTTAATTAGTCCAGGGTGCAGCCTAGATGTGGGGATTTTACTATGCAGACAAAATTGATAACCTCTATGAGAATCTTGTTCTGGGTATGAGCTATTTCGGTAGGATGTTTGCAGTGTAGAAAAAACTAGCTTTTATAGACTCTTGCAGGCTTTTAGTTTTATCTTAAGAAGAATGGGAAGCCATTAATGGGTTTTAAGTAGGATGATGACACGATCTGATTTTTATTTAAAAAAGAAAATCATGGGCAGCCCGGGTGGCTCAGCGGTTTAGCGTTGCCTTCAGCCCAGGGCCTGATCCTAGAGATCTGGGATCAAGTCCCACATTGGGCTCCCTACATGGAGTCTGCTTCTCCCTCTGCCTGTGTCTCTGCATCTCTCTCTCTCTCTCTCTGTCTCTCATGAATAGATAAATTAAAAAAAAAAATCTTAAAAAAAAAAAGAAAAGAAAATCACTGGAGCATCTGGCTGGAACAGTTGGTAGAGCATCAGACTCTTGATCTTGGGGTTGTAAGTTTGAGCCCCACATTGGATGTAGAGATTACTTAAAAATGAAATCATAAAAAAAAGATTAAAATCACTTTGGCTTCAGTGTGGCAAAATTCCTTAGGATAGGTTCCTGGAAGCGGAATTCCTAGGGGAAAGGTATTAACAATTTTAAGTCTTTGGACATACACTCTTAAATTGCTTTCCAGTAAGTTGCTGCCAAATGACACTCACCTACCTTCTGGGTCCTCACATTACCACGTTGCCAACACTGATTGCTTTTGAGGGTTAGTTATTTCTATGGGAGAAGTATAAGAAAACAGCAAACAAGAAGCAGTTATTGGAGCAACTGGGCACAAACCTGGCCAGCTACTCTTTCCCCCCTCCTTCTTCATTGGTCAAATATTATCCAAATAGCATGTGCTTCAGAGTCGTCGATCTGATTTCTAGCTAACATTTATTGATTGTTTACTGTGTTGCAGATATTGTGCAAAGCACTTTACATGCAAGATCTGTGTTAAATCTCTCAACATTTTTTTTTAAGATTTTATTTATTTATTTGACAGAGAGAGAGAGAGAGAATGCACAAGCAGAGGGAGCAGCACAGGGAAGGCAGATGCGGGCTTCCAGCTTAGCAGGGAGCCCATGGTGGGACTCCATCCCAGGACCCTGGGCTCATGACCTGAGCCAAAGGCAAATGCCTAACCTACTGGGCCACCCAGGCACCACAATTCTCTCAACATTCTTAAGAGGTCAGTACTATTATCTCCATTTTACAGATGAGACAATGAAGCACTGTGATAGTCAGGACCCTGTTGACACTCCCTCAATTTTAAGTGGAGGAGTTGGAATTTGAATACAGAGCCCATCCTTGAATTACTCTGCTGTTGTTCTGTAATTTGAAAAAGTTAAAGGACTCTGGACATTTTTTTCTTTGAGGTCTAAGGTTCTGATTATTGTGCTGGTTCCAAATGATTCCAAATCATTTTGGAATCTGACATAATTTGGTCAATGCACCATTGTTACAATAAACTATGAAGGAAGTCAAAACAATTAATTGGCCACATCAGCTATTTGCTTATGGGTCTGACGGGAGGAGAGAAGCATTAACTCACCTGGAACATAGAAAGGTCAAGATCTGAGGAAAGCAGGTCCAAGGAAGCTTAGAACTTGCAATTAAGGAAAGGCTTTGGGAGGGGAGCCTTTCAAGTCAGATTGCAAGACAGGCTTGCATGGTGGTGGAAAGAAGGGAAATTGAGCAAAAATAAATATTTCAGTCATTTCTAATAACCGAGGCGGAGTTCATTTCCAGGACCCCAAGATCACGACCTGAGTGGAAGGGAGTCGTTTAACTAACTGAGCCATCCAGGTGCCCTTAATGTAGGTCCCGTTATTATTATTATTTTTTTAAACAAGCGTAGATGACCATGCTTGGGTCTGATCTAGTGGGGATTTCTGTGTTGAGTCAAGTACCAGTCTCAGTTCAGACATTTCTTTTTCTCCAAATGGAGGGGAAGCCAAGTGAGGGGAGAAAAGTTCATTTGAAAATCTTAACTTGAGCAGCCCGGGTGGCTCAGCGGTTTAGCTCCACCTTTGGCCCAGAGTGTGATCCTGGAGACCTGGGATGGAGTCCCACCTCAGCCTCCCTGCATGGAGCCTGCTTCTCCCTCTGTCTGTGTCTCTACCTCTCTCTCTGTGTGTCTCTCATGAATACATAAATAAAATCTTAAAAAAAACAACAACTTAACTTTCCATCTTTTAGAACTGGCAGGATCCTATCTGAGTGTGGCTTCATGGGCATCATCAGCAAGGAGCCCAAGGAGGAAGGGGTATGCCTGTGGAAATATCAAAGACTTACGATCTTCAGATCTTCAAGTACTCTAGGTAACAATTTTTTAATTACGCAAGTAATATATATTGTCTGTCTTCTTGCAACATAAAGTAGGTTAAAACCCTCTGGGTTGATGTGAAGCCTCTTGATGATCTTCCCGTTGTTAGATGTACATCTTGGGCAGCTTTCCTCTGTGCATCTGCATCCACATTATGTATCCAATGGTTTAGTGACATCTTCCCGGGGGACTGTGGGGGTGGGGGCAAGTGCTCAGGTGGGAGGCCCTGCCCACTCACCAGGCGGACTCTTTCCAGTGGAGAAGGTGGTTAACTGTTCGGGTGAGAGGATTTCAAAGCACACTTCACATTGCAGGGGGGCAGGGATTGCGGGGCACAGGGGAATACCCCTTTTCTCCCTGTATTCAGCTTAGTTTTTGACAACGTTGAGGATGTGGCCGAGGTGTCCGGACTCCATGGGCACGTTTCAGGTGGGGGCTGGGTGGGTGGATACCTATCTACCCTCTCTCTCTTTTTTACTTTTTCCGTATAGGGTGGAGAAAACGGGCACACGTGAGCCTTCAGGGCACGCCTGCGCGTGTGCGCGTGTGTGAGAGCGCGCGCGCACCCGCGCAAGGGCACCCTAGGTCCTCGATTGGATGCCTGTTTACACCTGACCGCCCAGCCCTCCCGGGTCTGGTGCTTTCTGGAGAATGTTTAGGAGGGTGTGCGCGTGGGGGGTGGTGGCGGAGATCCCCCTCTCCCAAGATCCCCCGCGGCGGGGCGGGGCGGGGACCTTGGCGCGGTCCGCGGGGACCGAAGGCGAGCCCGAGGCGCGGGAGGGCGATCCGCGAGGGCCTCGCCCGCCCGACTCCGCCCCCCGCGGCAGCCGGCCCCGCCCCCCCGCAGGTGGCCCCGCCCCCCTCCCCTGGCCCGGCGGGCGCCGGCCCCGCCCCCCGCTGGCCGGGCGGGCGCCGGCCCCGCCCCCCTCAGGCGGCCCCGCCCCTCTCCCCGGCCCGGCGGGCGCCGGCCCCGCCCCTGCTCCCAGCATGCCGTGCGGCAGCGGCGGCGCGGCGGGCGGAGCCGGGAGGCGGGGAAGCCGTGGCTGTGTGAGCGTGGGGAGCCGCCGCCACCGCCTCCTCGCCGTCCTCTTCCTTCTGGTTCCCGGCGTCGCGGGCCGCGCTCGGCCCTGGAAGAGACGTCGCCTCCCCTTCCCCCGCCTCCGCCTCGCGGCGCCGCTCCCGCCTCCTCGTCCTGCGCTGCGGGCTCAGGCGGAACCCGGAACGGCCGTCCGCCTCCCCCGCCCTCCGCCGCCGCCTCCTCCTCCTCCTCCTCCTCCTCCTCCTCCTCCTCCTCCTGCTCCTGCTCGGCTTCCTCCTCTGCCCCGGGCGGGAGCGGAGCGTCGGCGGCGGTCGGTTCGGGCGGCGACTCGCGCTTCTCTGGGCGGCGGCGCTTGGCCATGTCGTGTCGGGGAAGGTAATGAGCCGCAGAGCCCCGGGGTCTCGGCTGAGCAGCGGCGGCGGCGGCGGCACCAAGTACCCGCGGAGCTGGAATGACTGGCAACCCAGGTGGGTGAGCCGGCGCCCAGCCCGCCGCCCCGGCCCCGGCCCCGGCCCCGGCCCCGGGCCCCGCGCCCCGCCTCGGGCGGGCCGCGGCCTAGGGCCCTCGGGCCGGGAGCCGGGGGCCGGAGCCGGGAGGCGCGGCCTAGGCCCTCCCCCCCCCGCCCCGCCCCGCCCCGGGGAACCGAGCGCGGCTTCCTGGGTCCCCTCCCGCCCCGCCTGGGGGAGGAAGGCCGGGGGAGGCGAGGCCTACACGGCAGCCCGCTCCGCGTTTCGCTCCCGGGGCGGGAGCCGAGACCCGGGGCGCCCGGCGGCCTAGGAGTCGGGTCACGGAGGGTGGAGAAAGGGGGCCCTCCTGGTGGCGGCGGCGGACTTTCTGGTTACTACCCGCCAAGTTGGAATTGGACTTGTGTGTGTGTGTGTGTGTGTGTGTGTGTGTACGGGGGGGGGGATCCCGGGAGTCCAGGGCCCTCTCGGTGTCACACCTTCGCTTCTTGGCCCGCCACGCAAAAAAAAAAAAAAAGAAAAAAGAAAAAAGAAAAAAAAAACTCCTTAACTGATTCCTTCTCTGAGCTCCCCCCCCCACCCCTGCCCCGCCCGCACGTGTTAATATCTCGAAAAACAACACCCCCCCTCCCCCGCCCCAGCGCTCCCAAGGCTTTGCTCCGACTTTAGACAGGGCACTTGTGGGGCGTGGAATGAGGCCGACCCACTCTCGCCCTCCCCAAGTGCAGGGGCTTGGGGCTTTTGGGGCTTTTGAGTTGGGCTTTTGAGTAAGGCTCTAAGGAGGAGTAGAGGATTACCTTTTGCATGGAGGGGATTTGATCTCAGACCTCTTTGGAGCCTCCCTGAAATGGAATATATTTGAAGCATCAACTTTTATTTGTATATATACATATACGTATATATGTGTGTATATATACGTATATGTATATATGTGTCTATATATGCAAAGATAGGTTTGTTCTCTCTACACACACACATATACATACACACAGTTTTTGTGTCTTTCTGATTGATCATGGGTCACTTGTGCCTAATTTAGGACTGAATGCCTTAGAAGGACTTCCTAAACGTTTTAGGGTATCGTCGTTCGTGGAGTTTTCGTCCTTTGAAGCACGCTTGAATTATCAATTGGCCTGCAACTGGCCGGATAAGTGCTTAAGACAGATTGTTGGGATTGACTTGCTTCCTAATGGTTACATGTAACTTGAGCAGTACTGAAAATGACTGAAGATGTTAGAATGTAACATTTTTAAGACTTGATAGAAAAGTCTTTGGGTAATGGGCGGTAACACCTCTTACTTGTTTTAATATGCCTTCCCAAATCCCGTGTCTCTTGAGAACATTTGTATATAATTAGGTGACTTTAAAAGTTAATGTCTGACTCTAGAGTTGAGATGTTAAGTAGCTTTTAGAAAAGATTGAAAAGCCTAGCTTTACTTGTCTTTTATCACTTAGGGTTTGTTAGTGCTTTAACTACAACCAGTTGACTAGTTTAAATAATTGTAGTCTGTAATTGACATTCTTAGTTGTTTTGTACTTATATTGAAATGTGTGAAATAGGTTTTTTCCCCCCTTGCTTTTAATGAAATTAGATGATAAATGAGCTTCAATTTGACAGTTCTTTGACATTGGATTTTCCATTATTTTTCAGTATTGTGGTTATTTTATATGAAATAATTTAATATCCCTGTAGAAGACTAAAGTGCTCCTCACAAATAATCCTAGAGTTTTTAGAAAAGAATAAATTGTAGCTTGTCATTCTAAGTAAATGTAGTAGCAAAGTTGCAGCTGCCTGCTGGGGTCACTTGACTTCATTTGACATATAGGAAGAAGAATGGCTTATTTATTTATGGACTCTGTACATAGATTATTAGTAGTATCCATGTTTTCTTCCTTTACGTGTTCTAGTTCTTGGCTGTGTGTGGTGGTGATTGATTGATTGATTGATTGATTTATGATAGTCACACAGAGAGACACAGAGAGAGAGAGAGAGAGAGAGGTAGAGACACAGGCAGAGGGAGAAGCAGGCTCCATGCACCGGGAGCCCAACGTGGGATTCGATCCCGGGTCTCCAGGATGGCGCCCTGGGCCAAAGGCAGGCGCTAAACCGCTGCGCCACCCAGGGTTCCCTGTGTGTGGTGTTTTTGTTGGGGGGTTGTAAGCTTTCTTTGAAGCTGTTCTCTGTAACAAAGTCTCAGAACTTACAGGTAGATAGATACTGTGAGATGTAGTTCGATACATGGAGAAACATAACAGTTGGTTAGGATGTTGGCAAGAACCTTGTTTGCCAAGACATAATTTTCCTAAGTTAAATATGAGGTTGTTACTCTGTTCACTCTTTAAAAAGGTGACAGACTCCCGTTAACTGACAGAGCCTCATCTTCCTCTTTGTTTAAATGGAGATCTATTTATTTTTCTAAACATCTTCAGATGCAGGCAGATTCCTTATGGTGCATGTGAATCATTTAGTTTTTAGGAAAATTATTTGGCTTGCTGTACCATTACTTCTCTGATTTTATTTTTATTTTTCTTAGATTCAGACTTCTGAACAAGTGTGATTTTAAAAAAGCAATTCTTGTCTGTTTCTTTTAGTCTGTCAGTTAGTCTGGAAACCGACTGTTGAGTCAGTCGTGGCCACACGTGATACTTCACACATATTGACAGGAAGTGTTCCAGGTAGCTGAATAGACCAGTGTCAAAAGGCAATAGAACAAGCCTATCTTTGCTAGAAGCATACTTTTGCAGAAAGCATTTATATAGGACTGGTTGATAGTCTTCACTAGACTCTCAATTAAGATTTAAGAATTAGGCAAATGAATGGTTTTATCATTGCCACTAGCCAAAGCATGTCCTTTTCTTGACTTTGCTTTGGAATATAATCTAATTGTACCAATCCAGATAGAGATCAGAAGGACTTGTTTTAAAATTAAATCTATAATTATTATATATTCTAATATTCCAAAATGACATGACTAATTTGACATTGGAGTCAAATATAGATTAGTTCAGAAGCATTCAGGTCAACAGAAAACAGGATTTTACTTCTATTCTTTGGAGTCTTAGGACTTTAACAGATTTATACTGGGTGTTTTACAGTGCCCAAACTTAAGATCTGTTTACAGCTCTATAATGATGAAACTGTATATTAAAAATAGCTTCCATTTTTGGTAAAATGTAGACAGATTAAAGTTCTCAAAAGTACAAGTAACTTTATTCTCCATTGTCTGAGACCAAAAAACAGGAAGAGTACTGTGAAGATAGAAAAGATAGAAACTAGTGTCTGGCATTGTGAGAAGCTGGGGTTTTGAAATCAGAGTTGTCTACTTAGCTGTTAATGACTCTGTAGACTATTTAATGTCTGTAGATGCATAATATAGTAAAATACGTAAAGTAAAAAAATAGAGTTATAGATTTGATGACCATAAATAGAGCTTTAGTTTAGTACAATTTATGGTAATCAATTCTCTACCACAGATTTTCAAGTATACTATGGCGGTTTATCAGATAACTGTGTATGGGTGTTTAATTTGCGGGGAAAGTTTGTTTTTTCCATTATAAAATATAAGCCTTATGAAACATCGGCAATTGTATCTTTAAGTTGAATCTTTTTCCCCTTTAGTTTTGGTTCCTTTTAAGTTGGGAGTATAACCAGAGGGTATTAAATACAGATTATGTAACATTCTAATGCAATGAAAATATTTGGCTTTAGGTTCTATTGATCTTTTAGAGATTTTTATGACTAATAAAGCCACTATCTTTAAGGAGGTTATAGGTTAGGGCAACCTGGATGGCTCAGCGATTTATCACTGCCTTCAGCCCAGGGTGTGATCCTGGAGACCCGGGATCGATTCTCACATCAGGTTCCCTGCATGGAGCCTGCTTCTCCCTCTGCCTGTGTCTCTGCCTCTCTCTCTCTCTCTCTCTCTCTCTGTGTGTGTGTGTGTCTCTCATGAATAAATAAAATCTTTTTTTTTTTTAATTTTTATTTATTTATGATAGTCACACAGAGAGAGAGGGAGAGAGAGGCAGAGACACAGGCAGAGGGAGAAGCAGGCTCCATGCACCGGGAGCCCGACGTGGGACTCGATCCCGGGTCTCCAGGATCGCGCCCTGGGCCAAAGGCAGGCGCTAAACCGCTGCGCCACCCAGGGATCCCAATAAATAAAATCTTAAAAAAAAAGAGGTTATAGGTTAATATGGGAGAAAAGTCTTGGAAAAAGTAAAGGATATTGTGATATAATCTTTGATTTTTTATTTTATTTTATATATAATTAACAGAGTTTAAAACCTGGAGAATCAGAGAATGGAAAGCTGTACAGTTGAGAAGAGGGCAGAGGGGCCATGAAATTGATCTGTACTATTTTGATAATGTGTGTGTGTGTGTGTGGGGGGTCTTCCCCTTCCCTCCCTACATGAGTAAAGAGGTGGCAAATCAAATTGTCCTTGGTAAAAAAATTTCCAGTTTGGTTAGAAGGATGGGATAGTTTTGAGGAGTTACACAAGTAAGAGAGCTCAAGAACTATATTGAAGCTTTATTGTAGTCCTTGAATCATAGCTTTAAGAGACTGCTAAGGACCTGAATATTCTGTTTATAATTAATTATTTACATTCAGACGAAAGTATTCAGCCCAATACGTGGGAATTTCCATAAGCAAAAGCCCCTCATGTGTTTATATGGTGTTGCTTGAGGTTGGTCACTACTGTGATACTTTTTATCTATTTATAGTTCAGTTTAGGTTGAGGACACTTAAATGGAATGATCATACACAGAAAACAGAGTGTGGTCCATGGTGTCTTGTGAACACTGAATTCTCACCACCTTTTTTTTTTTCCCTCCCTATATTCCTTATGCTGTACTTTTATTCTTCTGACTTATTCGAGAACTGGAAGCCTGTATCTCCCAAACCACTTCACCCATTTTGCCTTCTCCCCTACCCTGCTCCCCTCTGGCAATCATCAATTTGTTCTGTGTATTTATGGGTCTATTTCTGCTTTTTGTTTAT